GTCGTTACATGTCACTTCAGTAGTCCAACTCATATTCGTTTACATACCCATACCAAACAGCTTTCGCGGTGCCGCCGCATTCACTTCATGCCATGGACTTCGCGTCCATGTTATGCTTCCTTGAAAACGTGGGTCGCCATTTAGTGAGTCATATTGGCATATGAGGGTTGCGTTCACCTGTAAGTGACACATACCGCTACACATCATTCCTCAGTGTTTGCGCGTTGCGGGCGCCTGGCGCTTAAATGCGCTCCCCACAATGATGTGAATAGTTAGAATCGGTACAAACAGCACTTTTGACCCCGTTGACATTTATCGTTCGTATTGCATTTCACATGCAAATACCGCTGCAGTGATATCATTGCACATGAAAAGCATGACAGCAACGCCGGGGAAGCTGCGTGACATGACTACTTTTGTACTTGTTGCCTTAATAATTTACATTTCATTTTGAAGTAACAGCACATCCTGTTATGATACCTCCGTGGATACTTTGTTGCGCCATTCATGCATATTATCACATCCATATGGTCTTCATAAATACCCAGCATGCAGGCGTGAGTAGCCAACTGCACAGGTCTCACCCGTACCCCTAATGGTGTCAATAATTCCTAATCCATGTACCATAACTGCCAACCGTTCATGCTGGCCTATGGAGCCCCAGGCGGATACTTCCCTACTGCCCATACTGCTGGCACTTCCACCGGGCATGTCTGCGATCACTGAACGCCGGTAGCAAAAGCCTAAGAAGTCACCAAATTAAGACATACATCCGTAGGACTTATATACATCGGCTTAGCGCATTTACCTGTCCATGGTTCATTCGCTTGTACAGAGCAAGAGGTGAGACCATTGCTAGTTACCTTAATTACAGTTCATTGCAAGCTTCATGCTTGCGTTTGCCAGTCGACGCGCCTCTGGAGATCGCCGCCTTTGCAATAGGGGTATCATGAACATGAGTATTCATCACGTGGCATTCTAGCAGACAATTAAAACGTCAGCATGTGTAACAACTATATTAACTGGTAAGCTGTTGCAAACATTCACCACCAGGGTTCGGCGAGACAGCATCAGACTCGAAGAATAGTATTCTTCGATTGCAATGCTTCCACTGGTTACGCTTGTCAAGGTATCCACTTTGAGTCAAAGAACCCCATTAGGTCCCCTTTTACCATCCCTATGGCTGAGAAGAGATCCTTTAGACAGCGGCAATACTCCAGGCAAAAAAAGCAAACTTATAAAATCGAAAACGGTGGTTAACCTCCCAGACGGATTTCCAACCACGCATCGGAATATTTTCTAGGAAGGCCCATTCATATTTACAGAGTGGATCATTAAGTTCCCAGTAAATCCCCTACATTTCGGTAATTAACAACAGTTACATAATCAAGAATATACATATATATGTGCCTCGCTACCAAAAGGAAACATTAACGGCGACCTTCACCAATGTTAAACCATTTTCATTATTACATTTCTCATTTAATACTACGGCAAATACATATAATTACTCAACTAAGCTTAAGCGCATACATTAATATATATATATATATATATTTGGTTGGCGACATCCGGTTTCGGATTTGCCCGTCACTGTGGCAAGCCACATGACGCCTACGCCTACAGAGGGACCATGGATGGCTTGCGCTGCACGACCCACAGCTCCAACCACATACCCCATATCCAGTGTAAACCCGAAGGAATAAGACCGGGAGGCATGTGGATGAGAACCACGTTTCATCAACGGAGCCGGCCCACACTCCTTCACAGGCAAACAAAAGCACGTAGTATTTGGGGAATCAAGCGCGCGGTGGCTGGACCGTGGTCCGTTCCACACTGAGTGCATGGAACCACTCTTCGAGCCTAACACGGCCACAAGGACCGTGCACCCCGTCCTCTCCAGCAACGACCAACTGTCTCTTGGAGCCAGTACGGACGAGGTAGTGGGTAATAGACAGGTAGGCACCTTGTCAACATGCACATCAAGCGCAGGCACACCGGAGAGATAAAGCAACAGCCAATCAGTTGAAACGACAAGATGAAAGAAAATAAATCGGATAATGCATATAGATACGGCGGCATAACTCTTCACTAAATGGGCGTATAAAATAAATTGGTTACGAATGAATCCTCGTTAAGTTTAACAGGCCAGAAAATATATTTTAAGAAAATGCCACAAACGCGAAAATGTTATCGAAATTAACTACAATTTGTTTCAGCGACGTGTGTAAGTTTAGAGAAGGCAGTACAGGTAGACGTTAATATGAGAAAGAAAAGCATTAGGACGAAATTGGAAGCCCAGCACCTGAAATAGACTGCATGCATGCATGTATGTATATATACATAATGCACCTGCCATTTTTCCACTTATGCTACGTCATGGTAGTAACCTTCTTACGCAAATCATACATAGATATTACACCATTCAAAGCACTTTTAACCGATGTTTCATTTTTATATATGGTTATTCACTGTCTTAACAGCTCCCACCACCTCTTGCAACATTATAATGTGGTCTCCTTCGCCCCCCCCTACTTTCCAAGTTTCATGAGTCGAATTATTTTCCATTGTAGGTCCTTATTTCTATCATAGCTCACCGTAAATATTGATGCATTTTTACATCGCCATTCCGCATAATTGTCGTCCCAGAACGTGCCTTCGAGAAGTTGCTGACTTGAAACCTAGTGACGGTAATTAATTTAACTCGCAAACATTAATCACACACTTATAAAATATACTTTGGAAGTTCATGGTTAGTTGATTATCGAATAACAACGTAACAACATTACATTTTCATTACATTTCTCCTTACAGATGTTGCACTGCAACTCCGCGAGCAAATACCTTCCCGCCAAAAGGTGACGACAGCTTTCCCCTTCGGAGAAAGTGCTGAAGCTGCGTCTGAGCGCCCAAAGCATTCGAAGGCTGTTTTGGGAAAGCCTATTCGTGCTATCCATGGACTTGAGGTCGTAGTGTGAGAGTACACCGAAGTCTCGCACGAAAGGCGTGGGATGCAATGATTGACCGGCCACCGTATATGTCCGACTGTGCTCACACTTACCCAGCCTCATGAATTGTGATTTGACCGTTACTTTTGGACTTCCCGAAACACTTGTGTCTGACAACGGATCTGTGTTCACCAGCAGTTCACCAGTTTCCCACCTTCCTCACCACAAATGGAAGTAGACGTGACTATCGCCCCTTATCATCCGTTTTCGAACGGTTTGGCTGAAAGGGCTGAACAAACGGTGAAAAGTGTGCTGCTCAAACAAAAACAGGTGCGTCTACACGCGTGTACGTCCAGATCTTGCTCTTTTTGCTTACCGAAATATGGTGAACGATACCACCGGAATAAGTCCTGCGGAGCTTACGTTTGGCCGCCGTTTGCGTTTTCGATTGGACTTACTGCACAGAAAAGGGGAATACCTGTAGTTCGGGTTGTCTGTTCAGGTTTAGGTTGGTTCTACAAGCCGAACTATGTGGTTGCAGACGTTTCTTCACCAATCGAGGTGACTTCATCAGTGCGCATTAAGTAAAAATTGACCGATGAGAGTGACGTTTGAACCTATCCACTTCGATTCACTTCCCGTGAACATTGGTAGTTTGCAGTTCGATCGTCGCCTCTTCTGGACTCATGTGGTGAATCAGCCACTTTAAGTTCTTCTTTTTGCAGTTGTTGGTAGATCGGGTCTAAGCCAATGCGCAGGTTTATCGAGTTCTCCGTAGAGAAGCATGCATTGAGAAATTCTCTTTCTCTTCTTGTCTCCCCTGCGCAAGGACCTCCGTCTTCACCCAATCAAACAGGTGCCCTTCTTCGTCAACACGTGTCGAGATCAATGATGTAGAATAATGGTTTCAACAGGCTCGCTCGTGTTCTTGTAAGCTTGTAGAGAACCTTTCTTCCTGTCTGGCTCACATAGGGTTTGCCACGATTTTTACACAGTATCCTGTAGACAACATTCCGACGTTTATGTGATTCCATCTTCCCCTTCGGTCTAGATAGGGTTGTTTTCAGAGTAACGGTTGGTATGTGAGATAACAACAGGTGGTAATGTAGAGGGGCCGCTCCCAAGAATGCCTCGGGGGAGCTCTTCGGAGCTAGCTGAGAGCGGATCGAGAAGGACGGCTAGCGACGAGCCTGGGCCCGGAACTACGGAGCGGGAATATGTGGACAGCGCAATAAATCAGACATATACGCCGCTAGCGCAGCCCACAGGACCGAGGCCGAGCCGATTGACACAGCCCAGAACAAGCAAGTCGAGAGCTCTCGAACGACTCCTGGCCGATCCAAATCGGGTACAGAGAAGTGGAGATCGAGGCGAAAACAGGAAGGCGGGTCTTCCAAGTCAGAGCTCCCGAGGGGAAAGGACTGGCTCGTCTCTAACATCCGTACCTGTGTTGCGTTGTGGGACGGAAATCTAGTCGATATTCGATGGCGCGCGTGAGACCGGAAGGTGTGCCCATTTTCGGTGTGCAATAAACGTCTACCCCCCTGTCGTGTCGTTTTCGCTACACTGGTGCCGTGACCATTCGCGATGGAGTTGACCCGGTTGGAGCAATTTGCGGCCGGTGACGCGGAGGCGTGGCTCGATGAGTTCGACGGAATTGCGGCTTGCGCGGGTGTGAGGGGGATGCAAATTTGCTAATTGCTTTGGGCACACGGTTGAGTGGACGAGCCAAGGCGGTGTATCTGCTCACTCGAAAGGCCAAACCCAGCTGTTCGTTCGCTGAGATGAGGGCCGCCTTGTGTGCAGAATTTGGGAAGGATCTGGAGAGAGAACGAGCACTGCAACGATTTCACGCAGCCAGATGGGACGAACAGGAGGATTTGATGGTGTCTTTCCAGCAGCTGGACAGACATCTAACGATTGGGCTCCCCGAGTTAGCGGGCAACGCAAGAGAGCGTCTACTGAAACAGCAGTTTATCCGAAGTCTGCCCGATCCACTCCGTGATCAGGTGAAATTGGCGTCGATGGTGGGAGACAGCAGTGTTGGATCTGGTGACGGTCGCCCAGAATTTGTCGGAACGAGTGACAGTGAGAAGCATCCAGCATGCTGAGTTGGAACAGAAAGTAAATCGCCTATCCGAAATGGTGGAGCAGCTGTTGTCGATAGAGTCTTCAAGCACCCCTTCACAACGCAATGTACGGGTAAGCCGGAACGGTCGCCGCTGTTTCCGATGCAACCAGAGTGGTCATGTGGCGAGATTCTGCACCAACGTCAAGGTGCCCCATTGTTTCTCTCTATCCATGCCGAGTCGGTGGCGAGTACCAGTCTTCCAGGTAACTATAGAAGGTGTGTCTGTCCGAGCCATAGTAGACACAGGAGCGGCAGTGTCAATTACGAAGAGGTTCAACGGGGTTCCAGTAAACCCATCTTCAATCACGATGCAGACGGTCGGCAGGCATTCTTTGAAAGTGACGGGCACGCAGCGGTTACGAATCAGGATAGGAGAAACGCTCATCCGCCATGACATGTTCATCGTGGAGGAGACGACCGAAACCATCCTCGGAACCGACATCCTGAATCGGCTCGGCCTCGGTCCTGTGGGCTGCGCTAGCGGCGTATATGTCTGATTTATTGCGCTGTCCACATATTCCCGCTCCGTAGTTCCGGGCCCAGGCTCGTCGCTAGCCGTCCTTCTCGATCCGCTCTCAGCTAGCTCCGAAGAGCTCCCCCGAGGCATTCTTGGGAGCGGCCCCTCTACAGTAAGGCTTGAGGGGCCGAGCAGTCATTTCCGATACCTTCTTGATGTAGGGTAAAGCGATCGGTTTCGTTGTTGTATGTTCAGGTGTGACATTTGTAGTCTTGCAGGTTATGTATCTTCGGATGAAATTGCGTGAATATGCATTGCGCATGAAGGATGTAAACAGATGGTTTTCTTCTCGTTGTGATTCCTCAGTATTACAATATGATTCTATCCTGCAAAACAAGGTTCGTATGCAACTGATTTTGTGACATTTTGGATGGTTGCTGGTGAAATTTAGGATTCGATCTGTGCGCCTTTCCTGTGAACTGATGTTCGTAGTTTCCCGTCAGCTGTTCTAGTTACCAGTACGTTCAAGAAAGGTAGTTTGTTTTCCGTTTCTGACTCTATGGTGAAGTGAATGCCGTCTATTGCATCGTTCAGCAAGTCTTGTGCGATCTGCAACTGGCTGTGTTTGAGTATTACGAACGTGTGGTTAACATATCTGACCCACCATTTCGGGTTCAAAACTGAGAGTAGATTTTCGTCTAACATTTGCATGACGATCTCTGCAATGAGATATAGCGGACACCATTGGGGCTCCTTTCACTTGTTCATAGAACGTTCCATTGAAGTTAAAGTATGTCGTGAGACACAGGTCGAGGAGCTTGCATATACTCTCGGTCGTCCTCCGCCAACATTCAGGCGCACTCTGATGTTTTCTTTCGCCACTTTTAAGTTGACAAAGTGAAGAGTGCAGTAAGGTCGAAGAACACCATTAATTCTTCATGATCGATTCGCATTCTTTGGAGCTTCTCCAAAAACTGCTGAGCGTTGTTTACGAAATACGGCGATCCTCTAGTCAGATGTTTAAGGCGCCTCCATAGTTCTATAGCCAAGATGTAGATGGGCGTAACAGGGATTGAGACGAGTGGCCGAAGTGGTACACCAGCATCTTCGGAAGTCCGTAGAATTGCGCGATGTTTGAGTCACGAGCTTGCATTCTATCGTGTTCGTCCTTGGTGAGTTGCTTCGAATCTTTGAGGTTTTTCAGGGTCTTATTTATTTTATTTGTTAAGTGCACTGTTGGATCGGTTTCCAAACAGCGGTACGTTGTACTACCGTTCACGTCGTATACGGGTCCCAACCCAACATGGAGTGCTGTCATCCAATCAGACCATACAACTGTCCAGCCAATCACCACTAAGCTGGAACCAACCAAACGATATACCCCAGTGATTCTGATAAACACGTGAACTACCTGTTGACACTTTGTTGACTCTGCTTGTCAGTATCTCTTGATCCGCTGTATCAATACTACCGGTCATTTCCACGATCTAGTATTCTATCCACCTACTAGAACAGCTCGGGTTATATCAACTGGCGACGGAATTGGTAATTAAAATGGCAATTTCAGCAGACGATCTCCGTGCAATTCTTCAACAACAGCAGTCGCAGTTCGAGGCCGCTCAGCTCCGTTTACTCGATACTCTAACGCGTAACCTCTCCCTGGTTTTCAAGGACAAGGCACCGCAGGATGAACATACCAACATTGAATCAATTGTTTCTACAATTCAGATTTTCCAGCATGACGTTGCATCGAGTGTTACTTTTGAGTCCTGGTTCAAGTGCTATGAGGACATTTTTCGTGTTGAGTTCGGTCGGAAGGAGGATTCATGGCGATCACGAACACTGCTTCGTAAGTTGGGGATCACGGAGCATGATCGTTTCGTAAACTATATTTTGCCCAAACATCCACGCGAATTTTCTTTTGATGACACGGTTCAGTGCCTCACACAGATTTTTGGCGAACGTTCCTCGCTCTTCAGCACACGTTGTCATTGCTTAAAACTCGTCAAGCACTCCATGGACGACTACATTACCTACACAGGTATCGTTAACCGCGAGTTTGAGCGTTTTAAACTTGCATCCATGATCGAGACACAGTTCAAGTGTCTCATGTTTATTTGTGGTCTACAATCTCCGTCAGACGCGGACATCCGCACACGTCTGGAGCAAGACCCAGACATAACGTTGCAGAAAATGGCTGAGGAATGTCAGTGCCTGATCAATTTGAAGCATGATTCCCGTATGGTGGAACAGCATCAGATCAACATGGCAGATGTCAGACCGGTCAGAGCACAAAAGCAGGAGTCCAAAAAGCCACCAACAGCATGTTGGAACTGTGGCGCATGGCACTACGCCTCACAGTGCACTTTTCGCCGACATCGGTGCAATCAGTGTCAACGTTTTGGTCACAAAGATGGTTTCTGCAAGCCACGCAACTCAACTAAAGCTGACAATTCCAACAAACGGTTTCCGAAACCACCGCAGAAGGCTAGTCGCAGCATTGTTGCTAGCTATCAAGTCAACGCTACATCGCGAAGACGCTATCTAACAGTGAGTGTAAACGGGTATCCCGCGACTCTCCAGGTAGACACAGGATCGGACATCACGATTATTTCGCAAACGATTTGGGAATCCATCGGACGTCCTCCAGTTATGCCCACTCAACAGACAGCCCTCAGTGCATACGGAACAACTCTCGGTTTGGTTTGTGAGTTACGTTGCTTGGTATCTTATAATGGTCAAAAATTTGAGTCTATATGCTACCTCACTAACCAACCAGGATTGAATATTCTCGGCATTGACTGGTTAGATAATTTCAATCTTTGGATTATTCCGTTTGATAAAGTCTGCAAACTGACACTGGGCATCAGCATTCCTCCCGTAATAATCGATGCAGGGCTACAGCAGTCCATTCCACAACGGTTATTTCAGCGATATGCACTAGTTTTCCAGGAAGGACTTGGTGTTTGTAGCAAAATGAAGGCTCCATTGCAGCTGAGAGCAGATGCTAAACCCGTTTTTCGTCCTAAACGTCCGGTGCCTTATTCTGCATTAACCAGTGTAGAGCTAGAGCTGGATCGCCTACAGCTAGCAGATGTCATACAACCAGTCGATTACTCGGACTGGTCTGCTCCAATCGTAGTGGTACGAAAGGCCAATGGCTCAATTCGTGTGTGTGCAGATTTTTCAACGGGTCTCAATGTCACCCTTCAGACACACAGTTATCCACTACCAGTCCAAGAAGAGATTTTTACCAAACTTTCAGGCGGTAGACAGTTTGCCAAACTTGACCTAGCTGATGCATATCTACAAATCGCCATTGACGATGAGTCAAAGGAATTGTTGACAATTAACACACACCGCGGATTGTTTCAGTTTAACCGATTGCCATTCGGGGTTAAAACAGCACCAGCTATTTTCCAGCAGCTTATGGATACCATGCTCACGGGCATTGACGGCGTTGCAGCTTACTTAGATGATATCTTAGTGGTCGGAACAAGTCCAGAAGAGCTAGCAGTGAGGCTCGACCAAGTTTTGGATCGTATAAAAGAGTACGGATTGCGCTTGCAACCAGACAAATGCAGCTTACTTTTGCCACAACTTAAATACCTGGGGTCCATTATTGATGAGAATGGACGTCGTCCCGACCCAGCCAATATTTCAGCTATTAATATGAATCAATATCAGAAATCATTTCAGGGTAAGGAATTCTTTTCGGTAACTCTCATCAGACCCAAACGTTTACATAACAGTGATTGTGGAGATAGCGTCAACTGGGGCTGGGATTGACTTCTTGACTATTTGAATGACCAAAATCGATAACTTGAGACAGAGATAGAGATGGTAGACCAAGTAAACTAAATAAACATGTGTACACAAGGCTCATTAGTACAATGTAATTAAGTAGGAAAGATAACCGCCAAATAACTAAGTAACAGTGTCCGTTGGCCAAGGTAATAGTATCGGCCGTATAAATCGATTTTGGACACATAATTCCGGCTTTAGATGGTGAATGTACATAGCCTCGGCGATGGATAAGAGCTGTTTGCGGAATCCTTGGGAGAAGTGTTCAGGTAATGAGTAAACGACTTTGAAGTCATTCTCTGAAACTGTATGGCCACATTCAAGGAGGTGCGACATGATAGAGCTGTCTGAAGACCTCATTTCGCCTCTGTAAAACCATGCCGGGATGTGTTCACGAACCCTCTGAGATAGGCGTCTCGTCGTGCGACCCACGTATCGTGCACCACAGGAGCACGAGTACTGATAAATGATCATTGAACGGGTCAGTGGCGGTAGTCTATCCTTCAAGGGTTTTGTAAGCAACGGCTTATTGTGAAAAACGATTCTCAGCCGGGCCGCGAAATAAGTTTTCTCGACAGCATCTTTCAGGCGTCTGGATAACATATCAGCTGCAGAATCGCCCTTAAAAGGTATATGTATGAAAGGCTCTTTCTTAGGAGCAATGCTCCTAGGTGGCTTTCGATTACGTTCCTTCAAATGTTTCATGATAAATTTATCCGGATAGCCATTTTCCCTGAGGGCGTCGCTGATTCTCTGTAGTTCTTCGTTGACGGTATCCGGTGTACAAATACTGCGCGTCCTGAAGGCGAGAGATCTGATTAAACTCCACTTGTGTTGTAGTGGTACTGCGCTGTGGAAGTTAGTGTACTGCCCAGTCCATGTGTGCTTTCTGTGTACCTTTCTGCTGCATGATCCGTCTGAGTTACGGATAACTTCTACATCCAAGAAAGGTAACCGGTTTCCGAGTTTGTGTTCACAAGTGAAATGGAGATTCTTGCGTGCGTCTTTGAAAGCTTTCAGCAACTGTTCCACATGCTTTTCGGATTTGCAAAGTACGAAGGCATCATCCACATACCGTACGTACATTTCGGTTTCACGGATGTGCGTTGCAAGTGGGCCATGTTCCAATTTCGCCATGAATATATCAGCCAGCAGCGGCCCCAAAAGAGATACCATGGTCACTCCGTCAATCTGACGGTACATTTCACCATTGAAAGTGAACTGAACATTTAACGTGCAACGAAGTAACAC